TGGTAGTAGATCGTATAGTATAATAGTGAAAACAACGATTCTTTTCCATTTTTAGACCTTTATCTAGTAGGTAGCCGTTTGACCTTTTAAGGTCGGATAGGTTTTTTTTTATATCACTTCCATGCATCGTGTTTTTTCTCATTATTGCTAGTGTTGTCGTTTATGTATAGTGTATAGCATTTCAAAGTCTCRAAGACGCTGCCTTGATTTTATCGGTAGAGATTTCCTCTTTACGGCCAAGTCCGTAGCAACACAGCATATGAATGAATGACATCACGGCCGTCTGCACCACACGTGTTTATACTTCTAAATATCTACAGCAATAGTGTATTGCCTATAGGCACTCTAATATATATACATCTATACATTTTAAATGTACATATATATATACTGTGTATATGTTGTGTTTATGTTAAATGTTTTCATTTAAATTATGATTTTAAAGATTGTATGACCATTGATGCAGCAGTCATAAATTCTGGGCACTTGTAAAAACTGCACGGTAATTGCTTTTATTTAAACGATAGGTTTATTTAGTAAGATCGCATTGCACAACAACGATAATCAAGCATAGAACGGGAACCCATACAGTATGAGTACGCTGAATAATAAAGAATCATCATTTTTATCTTGGATTTATCTCACTACAATATCCTATCCATCCATGATTGTCATTAACTGTTTTATATTATAAAATTTACTGCACATATTATTTTAATATGTTTTCGTTATTTTTTTAGACGTACGGCTTGATAAAGTTGTAGGTTTCACAAGGGTGGTTAAAAACGCATTGAACTATAACGTTCATCCTTTTCGCTCTTTAATCCCTCCTCTTCCTTCTCCATCAATGCAGTTGTCACCTACAACATACAGGTCTCAGTCGTATTAATTTTAATCAAAATGAAAAAGAATGAGAAAATAAGGTTCACACTTTATATTCAATTACACACTTCCGTGAGTTGCTCAAAACGTTGGTAATCTCGTTGTGACAGTATTTGTATACCCAAATCTAATGTATTAGCAGACTGGCGTCGCTTTGACAAGCACCATTCCTATGAATTAACGATTATTCTCCGAATCGTTTGACTTTCAGTACCCTCCCCGATATCGGGTCGTCGACCTCTATACACCAAACCAATCTTAACAATGCCAGATTGTACGAGAGGCCAATAAAACTAATTATATTATATAAATGGTAATTCACCAAGCATATGCTCACTCCATTTTTTCTTTAATTATAAAATTATTTAAATTTAGTTTTTTTTTTAATTTTTAACTTAATATAAATACCTACTCTCAAGTCTCAAAAACTATTTTTTGAATTTTTCGTACTGCTTAAAGAGTCAGGGGTTCCATTTCGGTTTTTTTTAAGGATGCAAAAAAAAAATAAAGAGGCCAATTTTTTCGCACCACCAGGTCAATAGTCAAAAAAACGTTTCTCATGTACGTTTCTATACATCATAATTTATAAATTAATAGA